AGATATACAGAGAAATACTGCAATGGATACAGACAGCCCTGTGCTCCCTGCAACCAAAGCCACAAAAGTTCCCTCATAGGAGCGCTGGACCTGATGTCAACATGGTATGAATAACCTGCCTGGAAATCCCTTCCCCCTCTCTGCTGGGGAAACTTAACCCTATTCTAGCTGAACCAGGACAGCACTATACAAAACATGACTAATATGTTAGAGAACAGTGTAGTGCATATTTACAGCTCTTTTAAATAAACATTATATAAATATGCTTAAACAAATGAAGTTGTTAATATGTGATCAAGAACAACACTTCACTGTTATAAGCTTCAGTAGAAGCAAGGCAAGTCCAGAAATTCCCTTACCAGTTCTCAGCATCTGCCATTGTCATTCCCAGGTCAGAGGCTGTGTGAGGTGATGGACACACTGTCCATTGAAAAAACAAATGTCAACCACCCAGCTGAATGCAGGCTCAGAAAGCACAACAGCTGAAGTGGCTTGCTTCTGATTTACAAGCCATTAGCCATTAGTTATCACACTATGTAAAGCTGATTTTTTAAAGATGATTTATCTTTTGTTTTCTATACTTTAACTTTTAATTAATCTGTTTAAGGCTAAAATCTAAATTTAAACCTTTTTGATTGCTTTTGAGATTATCTTCTGATTATATATTGAATAAGTGGTTTGTGCACTGGATTTGGAAAAACTAGATTAAACAGAGTGCTTTATTAGATTTTAGTATTTTCAGGGCAAGTCTCACAAGAACTAGTATGTGATCCCCATTTAAGGATGCTAAAGAAACTCTAGATTACCAACACATTTCCATCTTAATGCAGTCAGAGAAAGTATTTTAAAAAAATCTGCAAATTGTCTTCCAAAATGATGCTATAGCTAAGTGGTTCTGCAAGTTACTTCACAGGAAAGAATGATTTGCAATACCTATCACAAAGGGAAATAATCTTAGAAAAGCAGTGGGGAGTTCTGTTGACCCCAAATAAAATCCACGAGGAGCACTGTTTCTCAAAAAGGATTCTAAAGGACAATGTAATACTCTTCTGAAAAGCAGTAGATGATATAAGAAGGGGCAATAGCCACAAAACGGCATCTCAGGAGGTTCAGACATCAGAAAAAATTTGTCCCATTGCTGTGTTACCCCCCAGGTGAAAAAGTCACCCAGAGAGACTTGGGACTGTTCAACCTCAGAAATTCTGAAGTTGTTAATTCCTTTCCTAACAACAACTATTCTTTTTTCCTATATCTGCCAACACATTTTACAATGAGGAAGATGGCAACTCAGTTATCACTACAAATCAGTCCAGCTGATGGCTCTCCATTGGGATCAGAAAGCTGGATGCAATTTAACACCTCCCAGCAAACCATACACCGCTATCCCCCGATACTGATTTCCAGTATTCACCTCGGGAGTTTGTGCCGTCTGCCATAGATTCAAGAGGACTGACTGCCTGGGAATCCTTCACCATTGAGCTTCTGAAGCCCAAAAATGTATCATGCTGTCAGAACTAAAAACAGCTATTGATCTTTCCTGAGGAAGAAAGGATTAGTTTGTTTTTAGAGAAGCTCTCCCTCTATTTGAAGTCCAGCAGTTCCAAAGACATTGTGGCAACCACTCTAAAACCTGGGTCCACAGTAACCTCATGGTATAATGGTTTTGCTGTGTACAAGTGCCAACAGATCTTCCAGCTGGTGCACAAAAGATGAAATACAGGAAGTACTATAGAAATGCTATGGTGTGTTAGTCCATGCTTTGTCCAGTGTTGCCAGAATACAAAATTGATGTGGTTTTCAACATTTCATACAGTGAAGTCTGCTTTCCAACTACAAAGCCATTTGATGTATCTTTCAACAGTAATATGCCTACACTTCAAGACAAGAATGACTCCACAATTAGGAAGACCCCATCTGCCTTACTAAGCACTCTTTGTCACTGCTGGGGTTGTTCTGATGATGTTGGTTTACTGGTTTTGCAAGTATCAGAGGAAGATTCCTGGATCACTACCTGTGACACTTCAGAGAAACTCTCAGTTAAGCCATGCTGCTGTGGAAATGGATGTCTTGAACCTTGCAGAGCAAGTGTATGTGAGCATAGGGCTTCACCTTCACCTCAGTTATGGATACCACCTTCAGTGCCACTTACCTCCCAAGAGCAGTATTTTAGTCAGTAAGACTGCCTCACATCACACCATCTTTCCAGCCACTAAAATGCCAACTCCCTCCCCATTATCAAGAAGATATGACTACCCAGAATGACTAGGGCAATATCCACACTTAGGATCTTTTAAACGATATTAAGAGCAAATCTACAAGAAGGTAATTTGTACTAGAATGTACTATCCTTATTCAGAAGTCATAAGCCGTTAACGGTATTATAATTTTTCAATTTAAAATAGAACATACTTAACCTATGCCTGAGGAAGAGGCAATAGCTAAAATAGCTGCAATTAAATCCTAGAACAAAATGCCAGCTAAAGAAGGTAAAGGAATCTACATATGAGGTTGGTAGTGATATGCCTGTACAAGTCAGAACAAAGAAACATATACCAATCTGATGCTGGTGGCAATGAGGGGTCATTGGCCACTCTATTAGGACTCCTATTCATAAATACACATTTCACATAGAAGAGGCAGAACTCTCAGAAGGACAATCACAAAACAATGTTTCCATTGAAATTCAAAGGCCTTGAGTCTCTATGTCATCTTGGAATTTTAGATTAGTATTTTAAAAAAATGCATCCAATAACTGTCCCCCTCTCATGGGTGACATCACTGTCTCTGTCCTTAACCTTTCAAAACTTTGTCTAGTGTTTCTCTTAAATACATTATATGTAGCATTCAAAAAGGCAATGGTAGCTACTTAACACAAAACTCTTCCTGTGAGATGTGTAATGTACTTTTAAAAATACATTTTTAAGTTACAGCCTTGCTTCCTTACAGTAAAACTGGCTCTTGTCTGCTTCCACCCATGACTGTTCCAAGGACCATAGGGAAGAAAATGTGTAAAGGTATTTCTAAAATCTTTTCAAACATTTTGAAATCTTTTCAGTTTAACAGATTAACATACACAAAATTTAATCCATATTTATGGATTAAACTACTTAATCCATAACTTCCAATTTTAACCTGTAAACTATTTTAGACCTGAGAAAATCTTCCTTAAACCTGAAAGCAGTTTGAAATAGGACCAAGGTACCATCAGTACCACCACATCAAAAGGAGATACACAGAATGCCTTTTCCAGAATTGCCACAGGATTTTACTGGAGAAGCTGGATCACCAAAGAACCTCAGACTACTGACATGACAACTCTGGAGATAAAATTTCACCAAGCTGTGAATTTCACCAAAATTTCACTGTCTAGGAACAAGAACTCACAGGGTAACTCTCCTGTCATGGTGGCATGCTGTCATGGTGGCCACCCATTGTTCTGATGAAGTCTAACTGAGAAGGTACAGAAGCCATCCTGTATTCAGGGCAGCCCAACCACCGCAAACACTACTCTAGCATAGTGAGCAGACACTAGAGGAAGCAAGTTAGCCAAAGAAAAAAAACTTTTTCAGGCTAGAGAATGTGGGCCCAAATGAGTACTCTTAATGTAAGGAAACCAGGCAGAACTGTATTCAGTCTGGGAACAGAATTCCCTCTTCTGAGCAGTCCAAAGGGAATCCAGCCCAGGGATACATCTGGGAATGGTCCACAACTGGGAGATGAGAACAGTTTTCCAGTGGTTTCCTTTCATGCTGTAGTCCAGATTAACATTTGCAAACAGCTGGATACCAGCATGACATCCCAACACAGGTCCCTGCACCCTCTGCTGGCTTGCCTTCTCTCCAAACTTAAGATTCACAACACCCAGCAATTCCAACAATACAGCTCAACCAGTAGTCATAGCACGGAAAAAAAATTCAGCAGCTCACTAGCCACAAGTGTACCAAGAGCTACAGGGCCGAAGTATCTGAGCAGATTGTGTATATCTTGTACATGTACAATGCACCTCTAGTTACAACTTATTTGTGGGAGCAGATGAACGTACCCTAGGTTAGCTGTGCATATGAAAACATTGCTGACATGTTATGTTCTTTCTCCAGGACAACAATTACTCTGTGCATATGACAGCAGTGACAGGATTTACATCATCTTGCATGAACTAGTAGCACTTGTCTGGGTTTACAGTGTTGAATAACTGTCTGGATAAATACAAATTCCTCTGGATGACTACTTCAGTGCTTTCCAGAAGCCATCTAGCTATAAACCAGCTCTAAAGGTTGATGTACAAGTCAATAAAGAAGTAGTAATTTGCTGTAGGCAATAGTCTAGACAAGACTGGTTAAACACAAATCTAAAAGGATTACTGCAGAAAACATCAGCCCATGTAGTAACTCATGTTTCAGTAAAACTCTTCAGTACTTAGAATACAGGCTCCGCATTCAGCCACCCTGGAGAATCAGGCCACGTTCATTTAGTCACTTTACCTGGCAGATGTTCCCAAAGTGGAAAACAGTTAGTAAACAAGCTAAACAAATATATATTTTAATAGCAGGTGCAGAATTTTTCTTTTCCCCTAATAAAGTATTTAATACCTGTGCATATTTAAGGACAGCAGCTGAATACTAACAGCACATCAGAAGATACAATACACACAATTACTCAAGGTACAAGATAAGCTTTTCAGTTATACTTCTCTAGACTAGTAATAAATTGCAGAAAGATGACATTTACACACTATCTAAGTTCCAAACTTAAGTCATTTAGTAAACAAATATCCAGACTGATATGCAGTACTATCTCACTAAAAAACAGAAGCTTAGGAGAAATTATAATTCTACTGTAGGTTTCTCCATCAGAACATTTCAGGTAAGATAGAGAAGTGATGATGCAGGACATCCTATTTTCAATTAAGTAGTGAAAATAAGTCTTCAGACTTTAGTATCTCCAAAAATTACACATTGCTTCTGTAAAGTTATAGAAATTTTAGAATGATAAAAATTTCTAATCACTTTAGAACCAAAACTCATTCTAAAATCGTTTGATACAAAACACATCTGCATCCCAATGGCAAAATAATCACCTTGAGATTATACATGGTACTTTAATACAGCTGAAGATCTCAGCTATTAACGTAAGCAAAGAATACGTGCATGGTCTTTGTGTTCAGATCTAGTCATCATGAACCATGGTATTTAAAGTTTAAGGTGAAGAAATATGAATATATTATTTTAGTTTTAGAAAAGCTGACAGATGTGTCTTAAATCAACTTAAACTATAAACATATCAAATTTGTGAGACCTTCAGTTGCTTATACAAGCTAAAATAAGGCAATGGATGGAGATCAGAGGAAGACTCATATACTTGGAGATCTCAGCTATTGGTCTTTCCTTAGTACACTCAAGCTGACCCATTTGGAAGCCAACTCCAAATCTTACAAAGGATTAGATCACAGACACTGGGTGAAGAAGTTTTCCTATTTGAGAATTCTACTCTCCATTAAGAGAAAAAGAGGCTCTGCTCTAAGAAACTGAAGACAGATGATCTACTTTGTCATTTCACAGCCATCAGCATTCAGAGAAAGTCTCCCCATGACTTTCAAAAAGGCCTAAATCCACAGGTATCTTAGATGGCATAATCAGAAAAACATATTAATCATTAGCAAAAATTTTATTTTACTTTTACTCCAGCACAACCTGAAAGGATTTGTTTTCTAAAGGTAACTTATAGTCCATTTTTACAAGTCCTTAAACCAACATTTTTTTATATGTGTAACCATTCTCCCATCCCTTAGTTGAAAATCAAGACTGGCATTTTTCTCAGCTCAGTTACTAGGTATCAGTGCATGATTTTTCCATAATTCCGGACTCCTGAGGAAGTTTCATGTAAATGAAAGTATTCATGAACCAAAACTAACAGTATTATCAGTTAATTATCAATTGCTTGAATTTTTTTTTTTTAACAGTCATAAACTATTCTGAAATATTAAACAATACTTATGGGAAAGGACTTTGATTACTTGATTTAGTCCATGGCAGCACACGTTTTCTTCGTCCTAAAAACATGACTATAAAGTTCTACAGAACAGCTCCTATTTGCACACTATTCATTTAATGTGATACACAGATTTCATAGCAAAAGTAATAGAAAAACGTAAAAACCAAAACAGAGCTATACAATCATACTAGAATGGTACCAATATCAATTCCAGCATTAAATATTTTTGCAATTTGGCTAAGTTTTGTCCAAAGAAACAAATTAATCATCACTGCCGGCCTGCTTTTCCATTTTCTGTTGTTTCCATTCTGAAATGCAAGAAAACAATTGGTAAGGCTTTTTATTGGAAATAAAATCAACATATTATGGAAAAAAGACAAATATTTTTACAATAAATATTTACTCCACTAACCATCCTGTGTCTCCCTGCCTCCAACATAATCTTATCTCCTTTTATTACTTATTTAAGCAGCAAAAGGTTTCTGCAAAGAAACTTTCCAGTAATAACTGCAAAAAGCTATCCATTATCAACCTCACCAAGAGACAAAAGCCCATATTCATGTGACCATAGAGAATCTATTTCTAAAATGTGAGCTTTAGCAGTTTGTTTCAAGGTCTTAATTTTCACCCGTCTTACACTGATCATTGAATACCATCATCTCAATTACTTGAGAGGAGGTTGGCTGGCTGTTTCAGATCTTTTTGGTAGAACATGGCCTACTATCAACTTCATAACAGAACAGCATAATATTCAACCACTCTTACTGACATTCCTTTGGAAGTTAAAAGCAACAGACTGGCACAAGAAATCTCAATTTAGCTACTATTTAAATCCCTGAAGTTTAAGAGTTTTGCTGCAAGGGCAATCACTAAAGCACAGGGAAGACCATTTATCAGCATTCAGCCTTGCTCAGCACAGATGCAAACAACTGAAATACAAACACCAGTCCAGTTCTCCATCAATGCTGAGAGATAAAGGAATGTATTTATACATTTTAATCCTCAAGAGTAAGGAGTCTTTTAATGCTGTAATTGTAGTATTCGTCCATACCACATTTACTGATACAAACCCATTTTCTTCTTTCAGATGTTGGTATAGCTCAGCTTTATTGTTGACAGAGTTCAAACGACCAGTAAATTCCTGGTGTTTCCTAGAGTTGGCAGTATTAATCCTGTTGCTCCATAAAGACAACAAGGACATTGGCCCTAAAACTGCAAGTAAAAAGAGTTTAAGTGTAAATTCTTAAACATATAATTATAAAGGCTTAGAAGAATTATAGACTATGCTAGTACAACATATTAAAACCACTAATATTAAACAACCTACAACATATTAAACCCCCTAGTATTAAACAACCTTATAATAGAGGCCAAATACAAAATATGCAAAGTGGTAACAATTGCATAGTTGCTTCCTCTGAACATCAGCTCAGCCACTGTGACAGATAACAGTTCACACCAAGGAAGAAAAGTCACTGAGAACTGCCCATTCCGAGAGCTATACTGCCTAGGCATGTTTATATTTATTAGTCAGCAGGAGACAATGATTTCTGATGCCTGTCCTTAAACAGCGCTTCTAACATACAGTAGCTCAAATAGCAACAGAAGAAATTTGTTCAACCCCCTGTCAACCCAAGTGCCTATCAGAGACTCACAGAGTATCCTGGTATCTCTCTCTCTACATAAACATGTTGAGGTAATATTTATCAGGAATTTCTCACTATTAAGTGTTTAAGAAAATACAGACTGATATGACAACTTCTATCTTTAAAAGAAATAATCTGTTGCAATGCTTCTGGTTTACCTTTTGCCTTTTCAGCTGTGGGCATTTCATCCATTGTAATGAGAGGCTTTTTGTTGGGTGGCTCAGGAGAATCAGGGGAATCTTTGATAACTTCAGCTTCTGCTAGTTCTTCTTTTTCATGATCCAAAAGACCTTTTAACCTTTTTGAGAGAGAAGGAAAACAGTGAAGTAAAATATGCTAGAGCAGCACATACTCTTGATACCATTCTGTACTCAAATTTATACGCAACCTGTATCATAAGATTTCTTTTGACCCCTTGGAACGGGTAAAAAACAACAGGGAAGACTAGCTAAATAATCCACTGGATAAAGCCTTAAGTAAAGGGAAGGATCCTAAAATATAATTTAATTTAAGGTAGTTAGCAGTATTTATAGCATAGCTGAAAGAGTTGACCATTCTGAATTTTGAAGGAAAGACTAAGTAACAATGAATATAACAAATACCACAAAATTCCCTATTATCTTTTCTACCTAAATTCAGACCTATTCTATACCAAATCCCTTCTATCTCAGGCCCCGATTTTGTTACACATGAAAGTAAAAGCAATCATAGGAGTGGATTTGATCTTACACAGGAAGGCATTAAAGTTCACCAGCATTGTGACAATAGTGTAGGTAGAAAGGTCCTCCTATCCTAAATGACTGTAGCATGCACAAAACATGCAAATTAAGCTTACTACTATGAGGGCTTTTTGATCTCTTTAGATTAGTAGTTTGAAGAGACTGACAAATGCTTACCACTTAGACAAGTTACAACAACATGAATTACAGACAGTCCTGTCATTCAACTGAAGAGCCCAATCTGGATTGTTTATCTACCTAAACATTAAACTATCTACAGCTCAAGAGCTTATCCTGAGTTTTCAGTCATGCTTTTTATTTCTACAGAGCAATTTAATGTCTAATAGGTGGCATGGTTAGGATAAAATTCAACAGCAGTGACCCTTCAAGCTGCAAAGCCCTGCTAAGTAGTCAAGAACTTGGACAAGAATCATACTGCTTGTAAAACATGTTAATTTAAGAAGTCTGATAAGACGACACTGTAATAAGTTGCCCCTTTCCCAAGCTTGGTAATGGTGACTGATACAACAAACCTTGGAATCCACACTCCATGCTAGTAAGCCAAGGTTACAAGCAGGAATGCATCAAACTAACCTGCAACTGTTTCACCACAATTCCTCTCCCCTTTGAAGTAGGGCAGGACAAAAATGATGCTACAGGCTTACTTTCCTTTAGAAAAATCTACCTTTCTGATTCTTGCCATGGCTTATCCAATTCATAGTCTTTGCCCAACTTCTCTGACTTGTCTTCTTTGTCTTCTCTCTTTCTACCTCTTTTCTTGCGCTCCTCCTCTTCTGGGGGTTTGCTTCTGCAAGCCATCAAACATTCCAAGACTCGCTGGTGTTTATCAGAGTTGTTTATGTGTGCTCGTACAAGGGTCTCCAATTCATTCCACATAATCCGGTACTGTTCATCTCTAAGCAAGGCCAGAAAAAAGGTATTACATATAGGATTACCTAGATCATGAAACTGTTGAATAAATTAAGGTTAAAAACCAGACCTTAGGAAACAAAAAAACTCCAAACCCAAAAATAACTCTCAGCAGATTGACTGTCCTCTAGTACTGGAAGTCTACCCACCTGGGATTACACCATCCTTGAAACATGAAACCACACTGCATGTAATGTTTCCTAATGGACAACCTGTGTTAAGTTTCACTTGAAATAGACCATGTTCACTGAAATCAAATTCTTAACTTCCACAAGATCTTACTGAAAATAGGCACTTCTGAACCCTCTCAGTTGTTTGATAACTATGTAATGTTAGGATAGTTAGAGGGCCACTTATGTACTTATATGGAAATTATTTACTAGTTCTTTTAATTAAAAAAATTTAGGAAGAAGTGTACCATGTTACCATAAATAACTTTCAGTCACATGGGCAAATCTGTAGCTGAATTTATTTTTGGCCAATTCTTGGAAATACAATGCATGCATCACAACAACTGAGATATCAGGATATGCTATGCTTGTTTTAAAGGAGCAGCCCATATTTTAAATAACTCAAAAGGATTTGACTATTCTAATATAACCCGATTTTAAATAACTGTTCATTTATAATAAGCTTAAGTTTCCCTTTTTACTAATTTAAAATCACTCCACCTTGTCCTAGGTTGCAACAATCTCTTACCTTTCTTGATGACTATCTTGGCTTTCATATTTTAACATATTCTCAGTTCTTGGGTAACAAAAATGATGGGCATTTTTTCCTAATGTACTGCAGTATCAGTACTGTGGCAGCCCCTAAATGATGCAGGCAAAGTATTCACAGCATTTGTTTTGTGTACATACAGCATTTTATTTACCACATATTACTTTTGGCCAAACTTTAAAATTCTGTATGAAAACAACATCAATAGAATATGAATAGAAAAAGCCCAGCATCAAAGAGATACGGATGTAACCTTTTTGGACCCTTTCCTCTGGTACCAACTGTTGAAATTGGCAGTGGATCATTTTTCCTCTCCATGTCTACCAAATTGTATATTGTTTTTTGACAATTCAGGACATCCTCATCAGTCATTGCTTCTTTTACAATCACACTGGCTAATGGCACTACCTGTAAGACAAAAGTCAACAACGAGAATATCTGTGTATGTCACTGGAGAGAAACAGGAAGAAAGAAATCAAAGGCAATGGAACCATGAAACAACACACAACACCACCACCCTATCTTAGTTTCAATGTAGTTATAATTCTGAGCAGGTATAAGCAGATGCATGCTTTCTTTACCTAGCAGGACTGTTGCTGTCCAGATCAAATATTCTGCCCAATTTACATGGCATTCCAATAATCTATTGACATTAAATACAGACTATTTAAGTGAAAATAAAGCTGAAAATAAACTGATTTTGTGGCAAATGATTTATCATAAAGAGTTAATATTTCATCCCGTGGCAAGGTGAAACAATCTTGAACAGAATAAAAGGTTACAAACCCCAGGGTACTTACAGCTTGCATGTTGAAGATGGTAGTCTGAGAAATAATCATAGGCCAATAACGAGTATGTTTCTCTAACTGATCTTTTGCACGTTCCAATGGAATTTCAAGACTGCCATCGATCTTATATCTGGGCTCTAGAAAAGGAGTTAATCGGTTTTCCCTCATAAATTCACCAAAATCCTAATGATAACCAAACAAGACACAGTTAGGCATTTCTCTAACAAAGTAACTTTCACTGAGTGGGTGAAACAGAATAGTCTTGCTTATCACTAACCATGTACCATCCCCATTGATAAATTTAAGCCTAACAACTAGAGCCTTGTTTCTAGTTTCAGATGTATATTATTCAGGACAAACAGAAAACTTAACCCATATTTTTATATTACAACTGATGCAAGGTTCTTGATGAAGAGACCTTTTGGATCTGCAAGGTATTTCATGTATGGTAAGAGTCTTACTATGCTTTTCTGGAAGCCACTTTGATTGCTTAAAACAGATACAAAACGATGTGTTGAAAGAGATAAAGGGAAAAAAATCAAAACAAATGCCAGCTGATTTGTCTGCTACATATCCAGGGTTCAGAGCTGACAACTTAATATTTTTTATTTACTGTACAAGCCATTTACATGCAATCTACCCTTCTGACAATAAGCAGGATATAGTCCTACATGTATCCAGCCCACAGAAAAAGCTTGCCAAGAAGAATGTTATTCTAGAATCAGAACAAACTTTAAATACTCATAGTGCATAAGGAGGCAAACACTTCCTTGACACAGAAAGGATTCTATGAAGCAGGCAGAACAATAAGCAGAGGTACTACTTCATACTAAATATGCATCAGTAGTACAAAGAGAAACAATTTGACCCTGCAATCCACTCAGGTCTCCAAAAACCATACCATTACCTTTACACATCTATTTCATTACATCTCTTGTCATCTGAGATAAGCAACAACTTAAGAAAAAAAAAAAAAAAAAAAAAAAAGAATCTTACTGTAATCCGATAGTCAGTGACTCTTCCACCGCACCCTTCGCTAATTGATGGGGGATCTTCTAGAATTGATCGCGAGCTGCTTAATACATGCAGAAAAATTTCTCCTCCATGGCTGCTGAGCATGTGACTAATTACTTTAGAGCCAGACTTGCGTGGCTGTTCCAACAAAACAGAACGACCTTTTGGAAATAAGAATAGTTTCATCAGTTACTGCGTGCTGCAATTTTAAATTAAAAACTACAGGTACTCAATACAGGTTTGTACCTAGCCAGAAAGGCTCTGAATCCATTAAAATTGTGTTTTCACCTAGCTGAATAAGAAACAGATATCTCCTTTGAGTATTTACTCTGTCTGTACACAGAACAGTGTATGCTCTTAAATTTTACACAGAAAGATCAAAAAGCCTCTCTCTGGGACCAACCAATCATTTCTCTGTAGAGTATTATATTCTTAGAAAAAATAAATATTTAAGACATCAAAATGGTACATTGTGTGAGGGTAGTTTGCTATTTTTAATTATTACAGATTATGCTGTACACTAAACTTATCCGGCCCTACTACAGAAACTCTCATTAAAAGCAACTTCTAAAGAGTAACAAAACCTACTTGAATATAAAGGTATCAACTGATACCATTCATTAATGCTTAAAACGGATATAATTTTTTCAGACAGAGAACTAAAACTGCCTTTGTCTTATTTCCATTAAAATACACTAAGCAGAAAAGGGTGTATTATCCAAACAGGTTGCTTCTTACGATGAAACAAAAATACAAGATTAGAAGAAATACACTATTAATTTTGGTTCTAACCATTTTTATTACTCCAAATACTTTTCAGTACAGAATATTTAGAGAAAATACATAAAAGTTATAGTGTTTATTAACACCACTGCACATTTAGACATTCAAATGATTTGACTGGAGAAAACATCCCATTAGAAGGATGTTTGTAATGCAATTTTGTCTGCAAACTGTAAAAAAACCCCCCACATTTAATTAACATTGACTACATATTACTTGTTTGGAAGAAAACTTTGACTTACCTTTTAACACATATTTAAATGGCTACCTCTTATAGTAAGATTATTCATGGCAATGGGCAAGATCTTTCAAATAAGCAAAAGATAACTAAATCTAACCTGCTTTTTGACTGATCCCAGTACACATAGGTATGTCTGCTTCAGCTGACCAACACACTTAGATGGTCATAACCCAGTTAAAAAGTTTTGAGGCTGCCCAGCATCTGCTAAAAGTCATAGACATAAATTGCTAATATTTTGCCATAGTCAGAGTAAGCATTGTGATAGAGTGCACTATCACCTACTGAAAGCAGTGTTTCCTACTGAATAGTATAAAGTGAAAAGTATTCTACATCTGGATTCAGATAAGAACTACCAGAATTCAGTATTTCCTCCTTCTTTACATTTTTCCTCCCATCGTTAAGTTTCAGAACACATTCCATTTACCTTTAACAACTTCCTTCTGTTACATGACATGTTCAAATAAACTGCACATTTTTACAGTATATAGACATTTACTGCTATACAAACCAAAATGTGATAAGTGCTCTATTCACCATATTAACAATTAAAACATTAAATAATGAGGTCACAGACAAAAATTTACCATTAAGGAGAAAGTTAGTAAGGCATGAAGAAGGTCTGCTATTTACATCTACTGGTGAAATTCTGTACGCTCCAGTGCAATAGTGTAATTCTGAAAAATAAATTAGTAGAAAGAAAGTTGAGAGTGTAGTTTCACATACAGAAAAAAACCGCCACAAAATGCAAGGAAGACGAGGATGCTATTTCACAGTCAGCAAAACTAAGTCTAGCTGTCTCTTGATTTAAATGTCTGCTCCTTTCACCATCTCCTCGCAATCATTACAGTACCCTCAACTGCAAGAATTTAACACATTCTCAAGCCCTATTTCCAGCAGGAAATCTAGTTCTTTATCTCCTGAATTCTCTCACTATAGAGTCAGCCTCCTCTTAACTACATTTCTGTCAAAGAGTCAACATATCTTGCTGACAGTCTACAGTGTGCATGCACTGAAGGGTCAGGTGGTTCCTATGCTGCCCCAAATCTTCCCTGTTTTTCTTTCACTTTCACTTACAGATTTGGGTAGAAATCTCACCCTTACTCAGATTTTAGAGGCAGTAGTCTACCAATAGTATCATTTCATACATTTAACTTCCTTACAAGTGTTACTTAGCACTCTAAAGATTACACTAAAGAGAGTTCTTTGATTCCCACCCCAAAACAAGAATTAAAACTGAAAGAAATTCAATGTGTCAAAGCTGCCATGTTAAAAAAGCACAGCTGTGGAACTGACAAGGTATTACTGGCCCTGTGGGAGGAGCAAATTATTAATGAACATTGCAGTTAAGGAACCACTTCATGATACTTAAAGAGATTGAAAAAAGCCACCAAGAAAAACATTACTACTATTCTCACCTCTTACACAAACCACTGATTAGCCAAGATCAGGAGAGCATCATATGACCATGAGTAAACCAGGGTGAAGTCAGCAGCAAGGTTTATAAAGCAAAAGGTAAAGCAAGCATTAACAAGTAGAGAATTATGTCCTTGTTCAGATTCTTATTAGTGTACAGAGAGAATGGTGTTCAACACAAAGTTAGATGATCAGTTTCATAAAGATACCATGTTACCTACCTACACTATTTGTTCGAGGAGTACACCATTTTAATGTTACAGTTTCTTTATATGTGGCTTCTCTGCTATTGCCACCTATATGATTATCACCTGCAATATGAAGTAATAAAAAGTGTGATCAACCATATTTTATTACAGAAAAAAATCTCATCAACATTTAATATACAAAATATTTACAACATGAACATATACAAAATGTAATCTAATTTTAAAAAGTTAGATCTAACAAGTAAAAAAGTTATTAGCAGTGGCAGTTGAAAAAATAGCCTTTTAAAATCAGCAGACATCGCATGTATTTTAAAAACCAATTCAGCAAACAAAATACTGCAGCTCCAATGTTCCATAGGTATGATTTAACATTTTGAAAATTACACATATGTTTTAAGAGGCTTTTTTTTCTTCTCAAGTGTCTAGAATTTTAAGAAAATATCTTCTTTAAATTTTCCACACAAATTAGAACCCTTAACAAATGTCAGAGCTGATAATTTCTTGTACATATTATATTCCAAAATCAAAACTGAAACTGATCTAAAGGCACATTTGACAAGTTGAGCTTTCTGGGATTCCTTCTCACCATCCAGTATGTTTGCTATGTCATGTTTAATCTGAACATCTCTCAACGTTATACTGGCAGTAGATGGTTTATCATTAAAATACTTTCATACAACATTTCACTGGTAACTGCTTTGGCAAAAACCACCCAAGAGCCTTAAACCAGGCATCAATACTCCTCACTACATTAAGCTAAGTTTCTGCTAGTGAGTTTTGCAATTCTCCATGATCCTCGACTCACATTATCTCAGGAAAGAATTGAGTGTTGCATGAAGTTTCAGAATTACAGTAGCATAGTCAAACAATATGCTCAATTCCACAACTGGAATAAGACACATGTCAGCATGCAACACCGTATGCAATATATTAGACTTTAGTCTAATATTTAATGTAAGAGGTTTTATTTCATATCAAAAGACATTTACTCACAAAAGATTAGTTTGATTTGCTTACTAATCATGCAGGTAACTTGCAAAAAAGTTTTTTTTCAGTTAAATTAAAATAACTAAAATGATTCTAGAAAATGTCTGACTATCTAAAGGTCAAATTTATTTAATCTAAAAATTCTCCAGCAACGTTTCACAGAAAAAAAGATCAATGTAACTGAATTCTAACTTTCCTAGAATGAGCTATTACAGCTGAAAGCTTTATTTAAAAACAAATATAAGAAACCAAAATTTAAAAAGTCTGTTCTTAGATTGTGTAATCTCAAAGTTCCACTGGAAAAAACGTGAAACAGAATTGCAGTTGGAGTTCGCTTTCGGCTTTTACTAGCAGACTTACTCCTTGAGCCAGCAAGTATTATGAAACTATTTCTGAGCCCCTACAACAAAGTTTTATGCTTTCAACATGCTGACACAAGTTCAGAGAAATACTAGATAATTTCAAATTTACAAAAAGAATACTAGGTATTTCAAATACAAGAAGAAAGCGCAAAAGCCAAACAACTATATAGTATTTTCCAAAGCAATTACTGCCATGTACAGGCCATGAGATGTAAGTGATGTCAACTATTATTAACAGACATTAAAAGTTAAATTGCAGAAGGAATATTTTCCAGAAATACCCACAAGAGGTTTCGTAAAATCCCTGCACATCTGGTCTCTCATCTACTTTTTATATCTCAGTAAGTTGACATGCCTCTCAAATCTCCTAAACGTATGTGAAACCTTGACTGATGAATTTGACCTGTTTTTTCATTGTTATATCCTTATTACTGCATTAAAATATGCCAGTAATGAGTAAAACTCCAATGCCAACATTACAAATCAAGTTCTTGGGTTGTAAGGCATAACTTAAAATATGCTAATCATGCCTGAAGTTTACATCAATTTGAAGCTTGCAATCTTTCTCTGTGAATACTTCCAGGTTGATCAAAAGCCACTTTTAGAGGACTATTTCTACTTACCACTCTTTAAAAAGTCAACATGTGCCTCTTTGTGATGAAGCAGCTCCACATCATAGTTGGCTGATGTGTTAGCATGTTGTTCTTCCTTTAAAAGAGAAAGGTAAAAAGAATAAACATAATTGAGTCAGAAGTCCCTGTTTTCATAAATGAATGATTCTACATTTGCCTTTCACTCCAGAAGAAAACAAAGTCTCCAAAGTGCATCAGACAACAGGATTGCAGTGTTGAGGAAACTGTTTGTGCTTTGACCTGTTTAAAGATGCAGCTATCTGCTTTTACTCTTTTCCTTTTATGAGACACTGTGGTTTCCTCTTTATACAAAACTCATATACAGAGTTCATAGTGTAAAATATAGGTAAAAAATAGGCTTAACTACTTTTGTTTTAATTAGTGAAGTTAAGGAAGCCTATGACATACTGAATATAACCAGCAGTTACAACTTACTGAGCAGCAACAAATGGTCACTGCGGAAGACTGGCAATTGCTTTTTATAACTAAAAATCTCAAGAATTCAAACCAAAAAATCCACACTTTGACCTTATCATTTCCTTGCACTTAAGATATATAAAAACTGTCCTTGCAGTTGCAAGTTTATAACTCAAAAATATGGAGGTCTGTGAAGAGGACACTACATCTTTAAACAGCTGCAGGGGACTAGCAAAAACAGAACATTAGTCTTGGTAAGTTATTCCAAGTTTGAAAAAAAAAAAAAAAGAAAAAAGAAAAAGCACAGAGAACCCAGAGTCTATTACAATAAGGACAAAGGCAGAAGGGAGAGGCATACCAGCAACACATAGGTCAAAGTTACAGACAAGGTATTTGCAAACTTAAGTCACATTTACAACATGACCCATGCCAAAGTTTCATTAAAGCTGTTAAAATAATTCTTAATTTCATATTTTAACTTATAAAATCCATACAATATTCCTAGTTTTCAATGATGCAAGTAACAATTAACAGTATTGAAACTTGACTAATTTTTTAATACAGGAAGGTTGATCGGCCCCTGCCCTTCTTGCTTGTTTGAATACTGACACTTCTGTTTCAATTGTTTCTTGCTGCCTGATCAGAAAACTCCTGTAAACTTAATACTTGAATTTCTTAGTTGCACTGATTTCCTTCCTAGTAGCAATAAAAACAAAAATTTAAAATAGGGACATAAACAACACTGAACAGAAGATGTTTAATTTAATATCTCTTAACTAGTTATCATCCTCTGTCCCCATTTCTGGTTTATGGATCTTCAAACTGTAAGACATACTGGAAAACCTTTAGTTAAAAATCAGCTATTAGTTACAAACACCTTTATGTTGGATAGGCATGATAATGAAACAGGGAAAAAAAGACTCACTATGCCAATATAATGCACAAGGGTCAAGAATATCTAAACACAACTAGAAAATAACGAAAGAATCACAGAGTAATGAGGTAAATAAGCCTGTATGTATCGAAAATACAAACAGCATTGAAATAAGACTTGTATTGCTCCATCAAAAACTGAGATTCAGCAATACAACATTTTCTTCTGTGGTCCCTCTTTACTTTTTTCCCCCTTTATTTTTACTAACCTGTTCACAGACATTGAATGTGGGCTAATAAAAAAAACAAAATATGACATGGAGAGAAAAACAACGTAAAAATTCAATTAAAATAAACATTAAAAATTTTCAAACAAATTTAGAAATGATGTAGCTAATTAGCGCAAAGCTATAGACACAGTATTACCTTCATGGGAATGTTCGTTATTGTGGTTGAAGCCAGATCAAAGTGCTGTTGTACTAAAACATTCAGTTTTGTAGCCAGATGCCGCCCTGCACGGACACTGTGCACTTCACTGGTTAGAACAGGTGAAAGCTAAAATAAATTGACGTAGTATTAATAGTATTAATGGATTAGGAGCTAGTATTGTGTAACAGTATGATTAATTTGAAACTCTAAAATAAGAATGTTTATATGGCTAAATTTGGCTAGAGGATAAGACTACCACCCAAAAAATGCCCACACCATGGGAAACTAAGGAGGAAGAAACAAAACTTATTTCTCATCCAGAATTTTGCAGGTTATGCCAGTTGTTACAGTTGTAGTTGGTACAAAGTGTCAAAAAATTAGAAGTATGCTAAAAAACTCAAGTCATTAATTGTTAATTGGAAGAATCAGTATCACAACATGGGGAAGAAATTATCTTAATAGCAGCTCTGGGCCTAGTTTTTCACTATTTTACCTGCTAACAGGCACAAAGTAATTTTTATAAGCCTACCTGTGTAAGTAAATCATACATACAGAAAAGAAACAAACAAGTCATAAGATGCATTTGATTATTTCCTGGCCAACAAGGACATTGTTTTTAGGCTTTAAAAAAAAAAAAAAACCAAAAAACCAGTAACAAAGATGAATGTTGTACAGGGGAAAGTAGTAGTCAATTTATTCTCTTCTTGTTCACATTTCATTTTAACGTAACTACAAAAGAGTTTGTGGAAAATCTCAGGGAAGACAGCTATTACAGTCCTTTTTATTTATGAAGTAATATGTAGGACTAGATGCCTTTCGTATTTAAGACTTTTTCTTTTGTCTTTTATACAGACAGTATGTTGAAATAATGAGCAGTGCAGACTGAAGAGCAGATTAATTACAAAATATTTTGTATGTACTTGGTTTCAAACAACCACAACTAAGCATACAAGTCCACAGAGCACAGGTACTTTTGTTACTGAACACTTGAGATGTTAATATATAGAACAGTTTCTTATATGCATCCTTTCACCTTCTTGTAAAATAATCTTTAAAAGTACCTGTAGGCTATTTCAAGTATTTGATCAACTTCGAGTATATTCTACATTTCTAGAATATGTTACCCTTTCTTTCACTTGGAAGCACTTTTCATTAAAAAGGCATTCTATTTGCTAACAGTGGAACAATAGAATTTATACACAAAAGCTCATTTATTTAATGAGAAAATCGTTTGACCAAAAGGCTAAAAATGCTAACATGCTTATCTGGATAACATGGAACATGCAGTGCTGAATAATATCCACATGATTCAGTAACAGATAACTGGGAAAGCAGAGCCTGTGCTACCTAGTGGGTTATGCATGAATAGCAAGAAATTTACTCAACTAATCTATTCAACATACCAAGTAGTTGATGGTTTTCCACTACGTTCCTAAATATACATTCTCAAAAAAACAACCCTAAGACTACCATTTTATGGCATTAATGGGCTTACTTCACAAAAAAATGATTCATGAATTAATTATGAAAGAAATTTAAGTAGTGAAATGGAAAAAGGGGATACCATGTATTCACAAAGACTACAAACCAAGACAACAAGGCATACACTTTAGATGGCAACTTTTCAAAGAATTATCACCTGCACTTTTTCCTACACCTTACTGGAAAGCAGAGCCGCAAAACTTTATTGCTGAATCCTTAATTTGCAGTCTATTTGGAGCCTGACACTGTTCCTAATCCTTGGATAAATTTTCTCATTTTAAGCTCCTTACCTCTTTTTTAGGACGATCTGAAACAAGGCTGTCTTCACCAACTGGGTAAGTGTGGATTAAGACCAATTCACATTTCTGAATCTGCATTAGACTTAAATAAAAACATTCTATTCAGTGTACAGTGTGGTAGACTATCTCCTAGGAATTAGATCAACTCTCCCAAGATTCATCTCATTCCCAGAATACAATCATAAATATGTACTGCAACATGCTCTCTCTAAAAGCAGTCTGTAGATTATGTTGTAGCGCATCTTTATGATTGTATACAAAATAAGTTTTTATCAGAATAAAAAGTGTAACACTTCTAGGTCTTCAGATGCTGTAGCACTGTGTTACTTTTTGGACATATCAATGGAACAGATCCTTAACTCATGTAATCTGTTCAGTTTCACTCAACTGAAAGTTGACACTACAGAGGATTTGTGTCTTCAAGGGTGTGCGCAGGTGATTCCAGTGAACATGAAAACAGCTATCCAAATAGCATGCCTATCTTCCAATGCAGCTGGAAATGTGGAGAAATGAAGTTACTGTTCCATATCTCTACCTACAAGAACAAGACCACTTTTCTGTCTTTACAGTGAACTGAGAACCTGATTCTGAGGCAGTATTCTTTACACACAAGACTGCAATTGCAGTAAGTAAATACAGGAGACTCCTGCTTCTGCTGTTTAAGTGCCTAAGGAGTAACCAAGAACAGGATCTCAATCTACTGTATACTTTACAAGGCAATACATAATCCCTAGGCCAAACAGTTTTAGACAAAACACATGAAAAAATTATTACTCAGAGAAGATGTAACCTGTATTTCAATAAATTCCTTTCTCTCAATGGGAGTGGAAGTGTCAGGCAACACAATTTAGAAATGAAAAGTTAGTTTCTTGTGATTGTATACCAGCTCTAAGTCAACAATATAATGATTTAGCACTTTATTTCACACAGGCATTCAAACAGTTTATTAGAGTAAGTTTTAAGTGGCAAAGATACACATATTTCACAGAGGATACAACAGGCACATGCAGAATAAGAGAAACTACATTTGTAAAAAGTATACTCACTGATCCGAATTAGCTGCAAGCTTGTTATGCTCATGAATGGTTTCCTGAACACAGTCCTCAAGCATTCGAACATGACTGTCACTAAAAAGAAATTTTTTATTTTTTAAATGCAGAATAATCAATCCTCCTGTTCAAAGAAACATGACACTAAATGCTCTCCCCTACTTCAAGTGGGAAATTTTTGGTTTGTTACTTTAACAGACCTCCATAAATAAGGCAAGAAATGATCAAAGAACACAAAAAAGCCAGCTACTTAGGGCACTAATTCATGACAATCAAATAAAGAGTGCTAAGAAGGTATGAAATCACTTTTTGTTAAATGGTAGAAGCACATTATCATACACACCTTTTTGCATTAGTAATACAGATTATTCTTCCTCTGTTTCCAACACGTTCTGCATTCTCCATGAGCATGGTTCGAGCCTCATGCTGGTATTCAGTTATTTTGCAGAGTGCTTCAACTGCTGCAACCAGACCATGAAGTATGCTGCAGCACTCTGGATCTGCCCGAGGATTAGGCGGCCCAACAGCTGCTAATGCTGCCATCAACTAGTTAAAAAAATTATTGAAAGTCACTTCCCAGCCATTTGTTAAAATGATCAGTTAAGAGAAAAGTTATCATTGTAACTTATTTTACATGTAAATTAATATTGTTGAGAGAAAACCAAACAAAGCAATTAAAGACTATTATGTTACCAGCCTGCTGGAAAACATTTGTGCCTAAACTATCCTTTGCAATTCACTTATTAACTAAACACTGAGAACGCTCATTTATTACAGAAAAATACCTGGCTATAATAAGTTTTATCCAATACCTGAAAGAAATTCTAACATTATCAGTTGTCATCTGCTTTTATTTTCTGAGAATTTGGAAATTCAGTTCCTCCCCAATGTAAGTTTTTCAGAGGACAAGCCCATTCAGAATGAAACAAAATAAGAGCAAAGAGAATATTTACTTTTTTTTATCATGGTTTATTTGCCTATCATGCAAATGTAAAAAACCCCACCAATTCTAAAATTCAAGAAGTATCATCAAAACAACAGAAGAAATACATAGGTAATTTCTTTATAACATTTATTTTAATACCTAACTCCACACTCAAAGCTCTTGGATTCTTTTTAAATTACGTAAAACTGTCTGTAGAATAGTCCAGCCTCACAGGCTACTAAAAATTCTGTTATGTAATAATTTCAGACCAGATCCACCAACATTTTAATTAACCATAATTATTTCTTACTGAACATCATAAGAATCTGCTATTTACTCCACAATTAAACTAGACTTACAGAAGAACAGTTACAAAAAGCATACCTCCTGCAAGTTCTGATCTTCTTGAGTCCAAGAATTCAAGATATGAGCCCCAGAATCACTCACAATGAAATTCACCTAAAAGGATCAAAAAACCACATGTAAATAACAGCCAATCATAAAAGTAACAGCCATTATGGCTACTTTTCCAAATCCAAACAAACATGAATTACAACTCTGTCTTATGATGCTCTGGAGATACATAGAATGACAAGCCAAACTAAAGATTAAGAGAATAAAACCACAAAAAGCAGCCACTCCTGCTATATTCTAGATCAAATTAACACTGCAGGGTATTATGAAGTATTTTAATCATCACATAATATTTTCAGTAAATAGCTACAAAATAAATACTGCAATATTGCAAACCATTCTCCAAAGACTGTCACTGTAGATCACATGGGTAAATATCTAGCAAGATTTAATAAACATCACAAAGTATGTCCTAAAGATGACAAAAAAGTCACGAGGAAGCACACCTTCCACCTCAATTACAGTTTCTCATACCACATCAAGCTCCAGTTCAGCCAATTGATTCAAGTCCATTAGGTGTACACTTGATATAATCCCATAAGGAGACTTGACTGTATATCAAATGCTCTGAACTAGTTTAAACATCCATTATCTGAGAACAAGGACATGGAATCCATCAAGGCGGTGCAGCTGATGTATCAAATCACTGAATTACCGGAGGTATTTGTTACTGCCCAGCTTCTGGACACAGCCAGTATCTCACCACCAATAGTTTGTACCAATATCACTGTCACAAGGTTGATTAACTGTCTTTTTTTTTTTTTTTTAAGAGGAACTAACCTTTAGGGCATTGGACAATGGTTTACTCAATAATGAGAAGAGATATAATAAACCAGATATTAGTTATCTTATGATACAATGTTACAGAACCCACCAGGTATTTCCTTTTCTAAACAAAGAGTTGTGTGCTAGGAAGCCCCCCCTTTTTCAAACTGGTTGCTTCAGGGCAGTCCAACTTCTTCCTAAAGCCCAGGATTCCTTCAAAAGGTGACTATAAAAACCTTAATAAGTGCTACCAAGTGTGTTTAGAAACAAAATTCAATTTGAAACAATACCTCACTCAAGCTTTTGTAAACATACAGCTCAGGAGAACATAATAATAAATCTGTAAGTTATCTTAAAGCACCTGTCATGTTTCGCACAAAGTGACATTAAGACAATGAAAGTTCCCCCCAAAAAATATGTAATGGGATTCATATACTATTCAAACCAATTTAAAAGTTTATCAACAGCTCAAAGACATTTGTATATAATAAATTATATTTGACCTTTTAATGCAACCAACAGCTACTGATATTAAGACTTCATTAAAATGGGAAAATATCCCCTATACTATCAAGTACCATATGTAGTAAGGCTAGAACAACTTACCAGTTTCTTGAAAGGGAAAATATCATACATTATTCTACAGTACTCCATGGATGATTCCACTGAACAGGTCCATAGTGATTTTGAAATGGGTGCAAGAGGTATAATTCCTTGGGTCCGATTCTTTACTAACATATCAAATTCAACATGTTGTCTGCAGGATTCTGCCATATACGGGCAGTGATCCACAACAAAAACAGTTTTATGAGACTCAGAAAATATTTTCATTTTTTTCCTAAAAGAAACAGATATTAAAATCAGAAAGAAATTATACAACACACAAAAAATCACATCACAAGATTACTGTGCAACTTATAAGGTATAAAATTATCTTACTAGGATACGCAAGTTTTAAAGATATTATCTCTTATCCAGACTACATATTGCATAATTAGCCCCTATGAAACTGTTAAGCTTTTAAAAAAGCCTACAAAAATTCCCATTTTAAGAATCTGTTTACATGAAGACAAACATCCTCTACATCTCTTACTAGTCCATATATTTAGTACACTAGATTTCTAATCAGGAGAAAAAAAAAAAGTATAGAGAATATGGAAGTATGCTGTTGAAAAGGCAACAACAATACATACTTTTCTAATTAAAAGAAACTTTTAAGAAGAAAGTACAGAAACTGCTTTCTATTTATAGCTCCTTTTCTAAAATAAGCAACACGGAAGAAAATAATTTATTATTAGGTTACACAGATCTTGAAGTAGCATAAACATTAGACTTTTAAGTAGATTTTTAGCTTTCACTTTTCTAGGTACAACTTTCTATTTTTAAATTAATATTTGCATCTCTACTTTTATCTCTCACTGACAAGCATATGAAGTCTGAAATGATAATGTAAACGTTTCTTATCCAGCAAGAGTCATAGGAACACCCCTTGTATTCCTCACAACGATGAGGCCTGAGAACTCTGCAATGAAGTGTAGTGCATCTTCCCGTTTCACACCGACATACTGGGTTTCCCTCTCCTGTAACATTACTGAAATAAATACTTTTTAAGCAGCTATCACATCAGATCCTTGTATTAGGGTGGACATCTCAATATGAAGGCTTAAACTCCATATGAAAATTATTCTTAGAGTAGAGCTACTTTACTAATCTTAAACCAAATACTCCTCAACTTTATTCAACTTCTAAATGTTTCCATAACGTTTCCGGTACAAAAAACCCTATTTTGTCCACGTCAATACTGAATTACTGAATACACAAAACCAAAACATATGTATGAGTTCATTTAAAAAAACTAACACGTCAAAACAACGAGGATTTACACAAGTCAGACTGCGGGCAACATCCCGCTCTGCAGGGCTGGTTTCGCACCCGCCCTCGGCAGAGGCTGCCGGGGCACGCTGCACCCCCTGGGCAGAAGACACGGCCGACCGCAGCCTGGAACAGCCCAGCGCGGTGGGCCCGGCCCAAGGGCCTGCATCCTATCTTTAGCTTGGCAGAGAGCTTAAGGGGCAGGCTGCACGACCGTCGGCGAGGTTCGGAAGACGGGAGCTCGGTGCACGCCCGCGGGCAGGGGAAGGGAAGTGTTTCCTACCTAGGCCGGCCCCTCCTCTGAGGCAGAAGTGCAGGGCCTGCTCCGCGACGCACCTGGGCCCGGCCGCGAGTTCGGTCCGAGTGGGGATTATGCCCGCGGGGCGCCCTAAACTGGGTCAGGCGCTGGCGCCTCCGGCCGGGTGACCTCCATACCCCTCCGCCTGCTTCTTCCACCGCCGGCTGCGGGGCGAGCGCGGGGCCGGGTTCCTGCCTCCGCGCCCGGCGCCCGCGGGGGTGGG